GGCGGCGGTGGTGGGCCCGGTTGGCAATGCCAGAGGAGCGCAAGGGTTGGCGGTGGCAGCGTGCGGGGTGCGGTGGTTTCGCGGTGGCAGTGCGGCGGCAACGGTTACGCAGCCGTGAGGGGGGGGGTGGGGGGGGGGGGGGGGGGGGGGGGGGGTCGGCGGTGGTAGCCGCAGTGGGGGGCGGGGGTCGGGGGGGGCGGTGGCCGCGGTGATGGTATTGGCTGCGGCGTGCCTGGGGCAGGCGCGTTTGCTTGCTTGCTGGATAGTGGCGGCGGATGGCTGGGTCGCGCTGGGGTGGGGGTGGGGTGGTGGTGGCTGTCGGCGCAGCAGCAGCGGCGGTGGTGGGCCTGGTTGGCAATGCCAGAGGCAGCGGCAGGGTTGGCATGGCGGCCGCGGCGGCAGCGGTGGCGGTGGCTTTCGCAATGGGGGCGGTGGCAATTCTAAATTTCAGAATTCCTGAGTATGCAAAGCTCTAAGTACACGTAAACTGCCTTACTTGCACAGAATCCTTTCTACAGTGATTTCCCCCGCAATGACAATGGCATCCCTAGAACACATCCCTTCATGTAGGCTGCTCAGGCCCCACCAGGAATTGAACCCAAGAAGGACAGATTGTGAGAACATGGATGCCCCATTTCACTACATTAACATTATTTTATCTGGGAGGGTTGGGCATATTTCGCCTGCTCCATTCCACTGAATTGTGTCATTTCACTACATTACCAGCAGATTCCGAGAAACAGGCTCCCGGCAACTTCCCAGGAGTGAAGGCCATGAGGCCCTAAGCGCCCTGGCGCCATCGTGCCAGGGCCTCCTCGCAAGCCTCAATTCCGCCAAGGCCTTGGCTCTATGGAGGCTACAGGGGCGCAGACGCCCCAATCCCCTCGACAGTTTCCCCTCGGGGCATCGGAACTGCGGGCGCGAAAAAAAATGCCCGCAATTTTCAAGGAGATTAGCTCTGCGGGCCGGAAAAAAAGTGCCCGCGCCCCCCTGCCACCTCTGGGCAATCGAAATGCGGGCAGGAAAAAATCTGCCCGCAGATTTTCAACGAGATTAGCTCTGCGGGCCGGACAAAAAATGCCCGCCCCCCTTCGAAGTGCGGGCAGACAAAAAAATGCCCGCAGTTTTTCAAGGAGATTAGCTCAAGGGGCCAGAAAAATTTTCCGAATATATGTTTTTCCAACTGAGACCTGCAAGAAGTACTACTGGGATTTGAACCTGTGAAGTGCGGATTCTGTCCTAACGCCTTATCGGTCAGGCCATGCAGTCGAGAAGATCTGATCGCCCCGCCGATATCGTTCATTTTGTGGCCCTGGCCCCTGTGGAGGCGACCCCTGCCACCACAGAAGGCGCGCCCGTGCGAGCCAGCCCGGGATGGCTGGGGGCAGCGCTGCTGGGGGCACCGCTGCTGCGGGCGCCCCTCGCCTGGGGCTGCGCGAGGGCTCGCAGGCCCGTGTGTTTGGCCTCCGTCGTTCAGGATGGCGCTCTCGCCCCAGCGCGGGCCCTTTTCTCCCGCGCCCATCCGCCCGCCACCACCGCGCCGCACCACCGCCACCACCGCCACCACCACCACCACCACCAGCAGCACCAGCACCAGCACCACCACCAGCACGAGCACAAGCACGAGCACCAGCACCAGCACCAGCACCAGCACCAGCACCACCACAACCACGCACACACGCACGCCCGCCCGCACGCACGCGCGCCACCACCCACCTCCTCCTCCTCCGCCTCCTCCTCCCCCTCCGCCTCCTGCTTCCTCCTTTTCCTCGCATTCATATTCCTGCTCCTGCTCCTGCGCCTGCTCCTGCTTCTGCTCCTGCTCCTGCTCCTCCTCCTCCTCCTCCTCCTCCTCCTCCTTCCCCTCCTCCGAATATCATCTTCCTCCTCTACCTCTCGCTCCTCCACCGCCTCTTCCTCCTCGCCCTCCTCCTCCTCCTGCTCCGCCTCCCGTTTCCCCCCTTTCCTCCTGTTCCCCTTCCTTTTCCTCATCCTTTTCCTGCTCCTCCTCCTCCTCCTCCACCTCCTCCTTTTCCTCCGCCTCCTCATCGTCATCCTCCTCCTCCTCCTCCTTGGCCTCCTGCTTCCCCCGTTCCTCGCATTCCTCTTCCTCCTCCTCCTCCTCCTCCTCCTCCCCCTCGTTCTCCTCCTCCTCCTCCTCCTCCTCATCCCCCTCCTCACGCGCAACGATGCTGAGCGGAACCCCTCTGTGGCTTCCAGAAAAGCCTGGGCGACCTGTGGATAGGGCCGACCATGGCCTCGTGTGAGGAGCCCAGGAAAAGCCTGCTGCAAGGGGCCAAGGACGCCCCGTGCGCAGCATGCCTCAAGGTCCTTGAAGGCTCCGAGGCCCTGGCGCCTGGGGCCCTGGGGGCCGTGGGAGCGCCCAGGCGCCCCGAGCCCTGGAAGACCCTGGCCTCTAGTAGTAGTAGTAGTCGTGATTGCCTTGCATTCCTTTGCGCGGCGTAAAATTGCTGGGCGATGCTGCGCGATCCTTTGCATC